AAACAATGGTGTTCTTTTGGGTAATCCTTGTACTAAGTATAATCCAAGTCGTTTTCTGTTTTCTGTGTTGACGTATTGAAATCTTCTGAATGTGATGTTGCCCTTGATATCAATTAATATTCTTGTTGTTCTTACTGTAGTTAGGGGACGTATATCATAAAATCCATATTCCTGAAAAAGTAAAGGAAATCATTATTACATCTGCAATGCTTTTAAAAATTTATTTTGAAACTAATATAAAATAAATAAAGGATTTAACCCCTTGACTGTAGCAACTCCAAATCCTGAGGTGTCTCCTGGTATCGCAAAATTTCTGGAAAAAAAAAAACTTATGAAATGATAGAGAATCGTTTCCCGATTGTAATGACACCAAAAGAACGAAATTTGATGGAAAACTGATGGAATTACACTCTCACAAAGTTAGCAACCGCGGCGATATTTATGAAACGGTGATTTCGCCCACTTTGAGCCCTAATCTCGGCTAATTCCATTGTTCCAGTCGACCAAACTCATAGCCATTTCTTTAGAACTCCATTTTTTCTATCGACTGAGTACAAGAAACTGCCCATTTACCAATTTCAACAACCCAATAACATGGTCAGAAATTTGCAATTTGGCCAATTTCACGAAAATTAAAAAATATGACAATTTCAAAATAAGGTCCAGAATGAACAATGCAGACATTCCTGGCTCTAAAATAACATTTTCTTTGTTCATCAGCCATGTCTCCAGGCCCCTCTGATATTACTCTTGCTTTCTATTTTGAATTTTTATTCAAACAAAAAATAGAAGATTTACTGTTATGCAGACTACTGCAATATTATAATAATTGTATAAATAATGTCAACCCATTCATGACTGCATATTAGAATGGCTAGTTGAACATTTATTGGAAAATGACATCACTTGTTTACTTTTGAACATCGGCAAAAATCAAACATTTCTCCTACTTTGAGCTCCATTTCAAGGTTCATTTCATAGTAAAACCAATCAAAATCACCTCTATTTCTATAATATGTTTTCCATTCTATCAAATGAGACCAAGAAAATGAGAATACAACCATAAATACTATACGAAAATAGACCACAAAGTCGGCATTTTAATTAAAAAAATGGTCGGAGTTTTTTTTCTCATTATGCACAGCGTGCTGCAGGGGCTTTTTTATATGGTGCACACTGACCACACAGACCCATTCTCTCACATGTGGGCCTCCAGCTTTCTCCTGCTTGATTTGAAGCTGCTAGAATTTATGATATACCTTTACCTTTGAAGAATTTCAAGAGTATATCTACTCTCTGAGCCTGGCCATGGGCCAGGCTCGTCTGGTGCTCGCCTGGTCAACTAGGCTGTTGCTGCTGGAGGCCCGCTGCCCCACATATCCATCACAGCCTGGTTGATCTGGCACCTGGTGAAGATACTTGTCTAGTTTCCTCTTGAAGGCTTCAACACTTGTTCCATAGTGTTTCTGATATCTTCTGGTAAGATGTTGAAAAGTCTGGGACCCCGGATGTTGATACAGTGTTCCCTTATTGTCCCCACCGCACCCCTGCTCCTCACTGGGTTTATTTTACACTTCTTCCCCTATCTCTCACTCCAGTATGTTGTTTTGGCAGTGTGCAGATTTGGGACCAAGCCCTCGAGTACCTTCCAGGTATATATTATCATGTACCCCTCTCTCCTCCGCTCCAATGAGTACATGTTCAAGACTTGCAGGCGTTCCCAGTAGTTTAGGTGCTTTACTGGCTCAATGTGAGCCATAAACAATCTCTGTATTTGTTCCAGCTCCGATATTTGTCCTAGCCTGAACGGGGACGTCAGCACTGAGCAATATTCTAAGTGAGGGAGCACTAGCGATTTGAAGAGTGATTAGCATATATACGTCAAACACGGTGGCTCGTAAGACGTATATATACGACCAAATCAGTCAAAGGGTTAAATAATGAGTGTACTGTGTGTGTATTTTATTTTTTATTGTTTTTTAATGCCTAGTTCTATTGCTAACTTGATATATGTTAGTGTAAACTTGTTACCTGGCATTTATATACATTTATAAGTGAAAAAAATGGCGCTCTGCTTTCTGGCGATGTTTGCTTTGTGGCAGAAGCCTGGAACCTAACCTGCCATGTAGGTCGGGCCCTACTGTATATACAGATATAGAAAGATATATAACTAAATGGATTTACATTTATCTCAAAGGCTACATACCTTTTGGAATTTCTTCCAGTTCTTCAGAATCTGCATATCCTCTGCATAGGAACTATGGAGTGTAATATACTCGATATCCGTGTCCTTCAACATTCTTGCAGTTTTTCCATAATAATTATTGGTTACAAAGAACTCATGAAGGTCATTCAGAGGCCAATTAATTTTGATGTTCAAATTTTCAAAAAACTGAAATGGCAAAAGAAAAATTACAGAAATAAAAATTTTTATATAACAGTCAGCTCTTTTATAAAGCTCCTCAATACAGCACAATTGTTTATAAATGTGACTGAAACAAGTGCATCCAAAATTAAGACCGTTCCTCATGCTATCAAATTTTGGATGTATTTTTTCAATCACATTTCTGAAAAGTTGCATTCTATAGAAGAGCTTTATAAGAGTGCTGACTGTAATAAAAAAAACAATAAAAATTACCCAACACGAAAATATGCTGAGGTAAACAAGCCTTAACCTTTTCAGGCTCCAGACCCCGATCTGAAACTTGTCCACAGGGTCCAAATATTAAAAAAAAAATAAAAAAAATTATTTTTTCTTACGAAATAGTAGAGAATCTTTTTCCGAGGTTAATAATTGACGAAATTACGCTCTCACAAATTTTCCTGCATCAGCGATATTAATGCATCGGCAATAGTGCCCACTTTGACTCCCATTTTAAACCAATTACATTATTCCAGTCAACCAAATTCTTAGCTATTTCACTAGCATTACTTCTATTTTAACAGTTGAGCACAAAAAGTCGTCCAACCAACTATTTTAACTACCCAATAAAGTGATCAGAAATTGGTAAATTTCAAATTATTCCAATTCCAAAATAAGGTCCAGAATAAACAATGCAGGCATTACTAGCACAAAAATAACATTTTCTCTGTTAATTAGTTATGTTTACAAATGAATCCCATTTTTATTTTTAATTCACATAATGAACTTTTATTCACATCAATAAACAGAAGATTTACCGTTATGCAATATTGTAATAATTGTATAAATAATATCAGCACATTTGTGAATGCACATTAGACCCACCAGCTGATATGTATTGGACACGTGACGTCATTTGTTTACTCTTGAACATCGGCAAGAATCAAACATTTTCGCTAATTTGAGCTCAGTTTCAAGCCAGTTTCAATACTAAAACCAAACAAAATCATCTCTGTTTCTGTAATATATCTTCCATTCTATCAAATGAGACCAAGACACCATGAATACAACAGTAAAAAACATAAGAAAATACACCCCAAAATCATTGTTTTAATCTAAAAACACATTCGCATTTTTTTTTTATTATGCACTGCGTACTCCAGGAATTGTTTTATATGGTGCCCACTTACCACACAGATGCATTCTCTCATATCTAGGCCCAAATTTACCACTCACAGCTTGTCTGTGTGAGCTGAGCTCATGACATACAACTACAGCTTTTCAATTCAATTCGAAGTTTATTCTCTATAAGGATTACAATGCTGAGTTTACAGAATTTGGTTATTGTGTGGTTTACATGTAGTAAAATAATAATTACAGAGTGTACCACTAGAACACCTAGCATGGCTAGGCATTTTGGGCAGACTTAGATTAAATCTTAAGTTTAAAATATTACAAAATTATGAGGTAAGTTGGTATTATGGCTAAGTGACTAAATACTAGTTTGTGAGTTTAGCAATGTGAATGCTTTTGTTTTTGGCACATATACATAGTTTCAGTATTGGAGTATCACAAGGCCAACTTATGACTAGTTAAGATTCATTATTTTGAGATTGATATTTCTGTTTATGGTCAAATGGGTGAGTGAAAGTGTAAGTGTTAACCACCAGGTGCTATTCGTGTAATTAGTTGACAGGGTGTATCAGGGAGATAAGAGTTTTCTGAGGGTAGTTTTGAAGGTGATGAATGTGTCTGAAATTTTTAGATTTTCAGGTAGTGTGTTCCAGATTTTATAGGGCCTTTGACATGCATTGAATTTTTGTTAATAGGTTTGTAGTCGACCAGGGAATGTCATAGAGTTGTTTGTGTCTGTGTTTGTGCCTGTGGGTTCTGTCACAACTATCAAGAAAGCATTTTAGGTCAAGGTTTAATTTGAAATTAATAAGGTCCTGTAGATGTAGATTGCACAGTATGTAAGTGTGGATGTACTGAACAGGGAGTAAAGTTTAGATCTATGAAGAGTGGGGGGGTGGTTTCCCTAGGTTATTATTGGCTTTAGGTGTGTTTTTGCTTGCAGTTGAACCCCATAGTACAGTAGAATAGTGAGTATGGATATACAGGACCACCAGCATAACGATATTAATCGTTCATGAGAGCTCATTGTTATGCAAATTTCGTATGAAATGTAATTTTCCCCATAAGAAATAATGGAAATCTAAATTAATCCGTGCAAGACCCCAAAGTATGAAAATAAATTTTAACATGAAATATTCATTTTTTCCTACATCAAAGTGACAGTGATACATGCACAATAGTAGAGTAGTCATGCACAAATATATTGTTTGTGCATGTAGCTCTCTACTAAATGATGAATAAATGACACTTACCTTTATTGAAGATGCAAGCAATGACTGATGAGACACTGTGTCCTGGAGTACCTTTTCATCCTGAGTACTGTAGGTCCTGTTTGGCATTTTCTTCCAGAACAGCCATTATCACACTGTAGTATGTCCCCCATAACGATTCTTAAATCTTCAAACCAACTCTTGCTAGGCTTAAATTCACCAATATGCGCACTAGTTCAGGATTTTTCCCTGTTCACCTGGGGGTTAGTCGACGGTGGGTTGCATCCGGGAGACAAGATTAAGGACCCAAAGGAAATAATTAGAGTCCTCGATGATGCATGACTTTCTTTATCCGGTGGTAACCCTGGGTAGCTAATGTTCACGTTAATTGTCTTCTACGAGTATTAAGTGATGTTAAGAAATACCAATTGGAGCTGACATGTGCATGAGCACTGGTCGAGTACCCATTTTCAGCTGACCTGTGCATTCTGGTGGCAGCAACAGGGCGCAATCAGCAGCTGTGAATGTCAGCTGACCAATGTGCAGCGCAGCTTGGTGCGGCAGCAACACAGCTGACTGGTCCAATTTTATCAGCTGACCGGGTGCTAGCTGCAGACTGTGGTGGCAGCAGCAGCTGTGGTGCAGAAGCTGCCATGGAATAGTTAGCAGCCTCGTGGTGCAGCTGCAGCTGTGGTGCAGCAGCTGGTGGTGCAGCTAACTGCTCGATTGTCCATAATTATTCACCTTGACCACAGTGGTTCGCCATGTGGTAGCAGTTACAAGCATGTAGGTGCAGCAAACAAAAGTCGTGTGCAGCAGCACCCATGTGTGCAGCAGCCAGCTGGACGGTGGTTCGGATGGTCATTTCAGTACCCACTGATGGGTGCAGCAGCGCTGTGGTGCAGCAAGTGACTGATTTACAGCGAAGGCAGCTGACTGATCAGCAGCAGCAGCTGACTGATCAGCAAAGCAGCTGACTGTCCATCATGCGCAGCTGACTGTGTGCGCAGCAGCTGATGTGCAGCAGCAGCTGATGATCGCAGCAGCAGCTGCTGTCAGCAGCAGCTGCTGGACGATGTTTTCAGCTTTCGCACAGGTTGGGCCACATGAGGCTATGATAGCAGTCAGCATGACTATGAACAGTACTGATCAGCAGCAGCAGCTGACGATCCAGCAGCAGCCAGCTGACTGATCAGCACAGGCAGCTGACTGATCCAGCAGCAGCAGCTGACTGATCCAGCAGCAGCAGCTGACTGATCCAGCAGCAGCAGCTGACCTGACCTGGACAGCAGCAGCAGCTGACTGATCCAGCAGCAGCAGCTGACTGATCCAGCAGCAGCAGCTGACTGATCCAGCAGCAGCAGCTGACTGATCCAGCAGCAGCAGCTGACTGATCCAGCAGCAGCAGCTGACTGATCCAGCAGCAGCAGCTGACTGATCCAGCAGCAGCAGCTGACTGATCCAGCAGCAGCAGCTGACTGATCCAGCAGCAGCAGCTGACTGATCCAGCAGCAGCAGCTGACTGATCCAGCAGCAGCAGCTGACTGATCCAGCAGCAGCAGCTGAACTGATCCAGCAGCAGCAGCTGACTGATCCAGCAGCAGCAGCTGACTGATCCAGCAGCAGCAGCTGACTGATCCAGCAGCAGCAGCTGACTGATCCAGCAGCAGCAGCTGACTGATCCAGCAGCAGCAGCTGACTGATCCAGCAGCAGCAGCTGACTGATCCAGCAGCAGCAGCTGACTGATCCAGCAGCAGCAGCTGACTGATCCAGCAGCAGCAGCTGACTGATCCAGCAGCAGCAGCTGACTGATCCAGCAGCAGCAGCTGACTGATCCAGCAGCAGCAGCTGACTGATCCAGCAGCAGCAGCTGACTGATCCAGCAGCAGCAGCTGACTGATCCAGCAGCAGCAGCTGACTGATCCAGCAGCAGCAGCTGACTGATCCAGCAGCAGCAGCTGACTGATCCAGCAGCAGCAGCTGACTGATCCAGCAGCAGCAGCTGACTGATCCAGCAGCAGCAGCTGACTGATCCAGCAGCAGCAGCTGACTGATTCCAGCAGCAGCAGCTGACTGATCCAGCAGCAGCAGCTGACTGATCCAGCAGGCAGCAGCTGACTGATCCACAGCAGCAGCTGACTGATCCAGCAGCAGCAGCTGACTGATTCCAGCGCAGCAGCTGACTGATCCAGCAGCAGCAGCTGACTGATCCAGCAGCAGCAGCTGACTGATCCAGCAGCAGCAGCTGACTGATCCAGCAGCAGCAGCTGACTGATCCAGCAGCGCAGCTGACTGATCCAGCAGCAGCAGCTGACTGATCCAGCAGCAGCAGCTGACTGATCCAGCAGCAGCAGCTGACTGATCCAGCAGTGCAGCTGACTGATCCGCAGCAGCAGCTGACTGTCCGCAGCAACAGCTGACTGGTCCAGCAGCAGCAGCTGACTGATCCAGCAGCAGCAGCTGACTGATCCAGCACAACAGCTGACTGTGTCCAGAAACAGCAGCTGACTGGTCCAGCACAGCAGCTGACTGGTCGCAGCAACAGAAAGCTGACTGGTCCAGCAATACAGCAGCTGACTGGTCCAGCAACAGCTGACTGGTCCAGCAACAGCTGACTGGTCCAGCAACAGCTGACTGGTCCAGCAACAGCTGACTGGTCCAGAAACAGCTGACTGGTCCAGCAA